GATATGCCTATCCACTCATGATAAATTACTAAGTAATAGTAATATGATTCGAGAATATGATATGATGTGATGCTACCAATTATTAATGGTAATGGTAAATTAAACAGACGACTGATAGTAAGGAAATTTTATTGAATTTACATAAAAGAGAGGTTTAGAGAGAGAGAGAGAGAAAGAGAGAGAATAGTGCTTACAAGGCAATGTTGAAGAAGACGAAGAAACTAGTGCTTCGGAAGAGAACAGATTGCGGAACAGATTTTCCTTTGTAAGGGTAAAACAGAGAGATATAGCCGGCCAGGCCAGATAAAACCAGAAAAACGACCGATAGGTAACCAAGAACCACCGTGGGATCCGATGGATACTTGCAAATAACCACATCTTTTCCAGAAATTGGAGTTCCAGCTGCAGGCTGCGAAAAAATCAATTAAAATAGTAAAGATTCATCAAAAAGATATAATCAATATCAATAAAAATAAAAGTTGGGTTCTTTATCAAAAAACCCCAAATTAACAGTTGCAGATTGGATCAGACAAGGTTGAGAAAATAATACCTTCTTGTTTTCAGCAATGACTCCAAAGATGAAAGACAAGATGCCGAGAAAGGAGACAAGCAGGGACATTTGCTTAATGGTGACAGGCATTTTGGATTTCGGTTTGACGATACGATGCTCTGCAATAATGGTAGCAAAACTGGCGGTATCAATTAATCTATGAGTACTAGTTCAGAATTAGGCAATCTCATCTCCGTCTGTATTATTGGTAGCAAACTATTCAATCAATTAAAGGGTGTTTTGTTGTTTTTTGTCAGAAAAAAAAATTGGCAAAAAGGAAAAAATTGGAATCTGGAATTGAATTTGTTGGAGGAGGAATGGGCATACCTGATCTTGCCGAGAGAGAGAGAGAGAGGAGAATGAAATCAGAGGAGCAATATATATATATTGCGATGAAACCAATCCTCCCCTTTTATGTTCTAATAACAAGGGTTTGGGGGAAGGGAAGTGAGATCCGGATTCTGAAGTCCCCCCAAAGAATCGCCCTGGAATCTCGCCTTATCCATCGCCCCTACGATTACCTTTTTGCCCCTTTCGTTTTGCACTTCATTTCATCTCTTCTAACTTTTTCTGTTTACCAGATTTGCATTTACCCAGAAAAGGCCAAAAGTAAGGTAAATCCCAATCTGGCCCTTTCCCGCTACACGTAATTTTAGCTGGGATGGATGGGACTCTGACTCTGACTCTTTGACCCTTTTTTTTCTGGATTTGGTATTTCTAATAATTAATAGAAATTTAATTCTTCCCTTTTTATTGATTTCTCAAGTGCAGGATATTTTCTTTTTTTCCAAAAAGGAAATACCAAAACAGTTAGGTTGTTTGGAGATGTACATTCCGATTTGACAAATACCACAAGATTTTCATTGCGAGCAATTATGCTTAAAGTTGGATATAATTTTTTTAATAAATTAAATGTACTAATTATCTTGTTCATGAGAATAAACTAAACTTGTAGGTAAAGGAAAACGCCAATTTGAGTCCAAAAAAATGAAATACTTAGTTGATTAATTACGTTTCAAATATCATTTTAAAATCTAAACAAATGGCTAATTTGCCTTGTCAATGTGTCAAACTGTTAATATAAAACAAATACTACAAGGCAAACTTTTCTTTACGTTATCACCTTGGAAAAAATATCACTTTCCACTTAAAAAACCGTTGGTATCAGTCTAAAAGAAACATGCCATCCTTTGGCGTTTGCGATATACATACTTTATTCTACAACGAGGTGAAGAACTAGGTTCAGCCCAAATAATTGAGAGCCCGACGGGGCCCAACAGAAATAAATAAATATACTAGTAGTTGGATACTCTTTCCTCCCCCTGCGAGGCATTTATGGCAATCTAGGAAAAGCAAAACAAACCACGATACAACAAGGGTCTAAGGTTCAAGACTCTTCCTTTTCTTTCTTTAATGGAGGGGACCTATTGGTTACGCAGTCCCAATCCCTTATCTTGATGCGCAACAACCCAAAAGAAACAAAGAATTTTTCTACTACTAAGCAATACAGGCAGGCAGGAATATATGCTGTACCTCTTAAATGGAAATTGGAAAACCAAACAACTAGTACTGTATACCATATAATATCTATTCTTTTTTCATCTAAAGCTATATATATATATATATATATATATATGTAATTATTTGAAGTTTTAAATAATAATACTGGCAACTCGCAAGCAGCTTGCTTGCGTCTTTTTATCCACCAATCTCAGCCTCTATGCAAAGATATGAAGAAAGGCATGAGGAATTGGCTATTTTTATTTATTACTATCTATACTAATACTGGTAAGAAGTTTCCGATTCTCAATTCTCAATTCTCAATTACACTCTATTACGCTTTTTTTTTTTTAACGTTGCAGCTTCTGTTTCAGTATTGCCTTGGGTTATCAGATTCCGTTGACCTGTGATTTCTCCTCTCTCTTCTCTTCTGTTTTGCTCTGAAACCACTACATAGTTACATCTCTACTTTTGAGTTAAACTATTGTGATCATACATATATACGTATTGCGGATATGGCCTCGCACGAAAGTTTGGGTTTTAGAGGGCTTCTTGTGCTTCTTCTTCATATGGCTTTGTTGACCAGTCCAGCCAGTGGAATTGGGGTGAACTGGGGAATCCAATCAACGCACCCTCTGCCTCCCTCAACCGTCGTACGGATGCTCAAAGATAACGGCTTTCAAAAGGTTAAGCTTTTCGACGCCGATGCTACTACTTTGAAAGCTCTTGGCAAATCCGGAATTCAGGTGATGGTGGGGATTCCCAATGACTTGCTCCCTACTCTTGCCAACAGTGTTCAAGCCGCTCAAGATTGGGTTGCTCAGAATGTCTCTTCCCACGTCTCTTCCGACGCTGTAGACATCAGGTGATATATATAGATAGATACTCATTATATTTTTTGGCCGTCTCCTCTCCTATCCTATCTAAACTTACTGCTACAAACAAGCACAATACATCCATCCTAATAGTTAGTCATTTTGTCAGTTTTCAACTCCCAACTCCCACATGGCCAAAACATTGCAATTTCAAACACTTTAAACCTTCCAAGTGTTGAGGAAGCAAAATATTGTTAATTACTTACTTGATGTTGATGATGATGATATGAACAATGGCTAACATCTCATCACTCCTCATGCTAGTAATATTATAAATAATACTAGTTGCTTAATGAGTTACCCAGACAGACTTGACTTGAGAAATCAGAGTGCAAACAGCCCATTCCCTCTGGCTCTTAGGTATGGAGATGATATGACGATGGACTAACAGAATGCCTTGGAACCAAATTTCCACCAGAATGGCTATAATTAGAAAGTGAAAGTTGATCTGTGATGAAAAGCTTAAAATGGAACAGCATTTTTATCTTACCATGGAACATCCCCTCTCCCTGTCCCGTTTAAAGAAAATCAACAACTGAACTACCTTTACTTATGTTGTCTTTTAATAATTCTTGAATCACGTTATTGCTATTTGCCAAATTTTTGTTACCAAATGGGTATGCTCTTTGGAAACGGGTGTGGGAACTCGCCATTTCCTGTTTTGATTTTATGAACATGTTTGCTTATTTTAACTTTTGTGCCTTCCAATTCACCTGTAGGTATGTCGCAGTTGGAAATGAACCATTCCTTGGAGCATATAATGGAAGCTACATTGGGCTTACGCTGCCTGCACTTGAGAATGTTCAGTCAGCTCTAATAAAGGCTGGCTTGGCCGGTCAAGTGAAGGTAACGGTGCCACTTAATGCTGATGTGTATCAGAGTTCAACAAGTCTTCCTTCTGGTGGCGATTTCCGGTCAGATATCCGCCAACTCATGCTGCAGATTGTTAAGTTTTTAAATGACAATGGAGCCCCATTTACCGTAAACATATATCCGTTTATAAGCCTTTATAACGATGCCAATTTCCCCATTGACTTTGCCTTCTTTGATGGCTCCTCATCTGCAATTAATGATGGCGAAAGAGTGTATGAGAACGTGTTCGATGCCAACCACGACACACTTGTATGGGCCTTGCAGAAAAATGGATATGGGAACTTGTCCATAATCGTCGGAGAAATTGGTTGGCCTACCGACGGGGACAAAAATGCAAATCCCAAGTACGCACAGCAGTTCAACCAAGGGTTTATGTCCCGCGTCATGGCTGGAAAGGGGACCCCAATGAGATCAGGCCCTGTGGATGCCTACCTATTTGGCCTCATAGATGAAGATGCCAAAAGTATTCAGCCAGGTAACTTCGAGCGTCACTGGGGCTTATTTTACTTTGACGGGCAACCCAAGTACCCGCTCAGGCTCGGAACGACGAGCTCGAATGGTTTGGTGCCAGCTAAGGATGTACGTTATATGGCCAAGAAATGGTGTGTTATGTCGCCATCGGCAAACCTTGATGACCCACAAGTGGGACCAAGTGTGAGTTATGCTTGCTCACATGCTGATTGTACCAGTCTTGGGTATGCTACTTCCTGTGCAAATTTGGACCCTCGTGGGAACATCTCCTATGCATTTAACAATTACTACCAGATTTTTAATCAGCTTGATAGTGCTTGCATGTTCCCAGACAACCTTTCTGTTGTCACAGACATTGACCCATCTGTTGGAGATTGCAGGTTTACGATCATGATCCAAAACCTGCCAGCAGCTCAAGGAACAGCCAGCTCTTTAAGACTGAATGTCCTATTGTTTGTATCCCTACTTGTATTTACACTTTCGTGAACATTTGGTTGCAGCTGCACTCAATTCATTTCATTCCTTCAATTTACATGTACAGACAACAGAGAGAATATTCAGCATTTCAGATTCTTAACTTGCAATCTGGGACCCAAGTATTATGTCAAAAGGGTACAGGTTGAGCTAACCAATTAGCTCCTCAATTTGGTTTTGTTTGGGATCAGTTGAGTCCAAGCATACCTCCATAACTTCATAGGCTCACACTTTGTCTAATTCTACAATTAAAGAGAGAGAAAAAGGACCTGCTTCATATTAATAAGCATTTTGTGAGCTGCCATGCTATCTATGTATGCCTGGCATGTGAAAGAACAAACTTTCTCTAATTAAGTTCTTCTGATTGATGCAATTCATCTTGCTTGGACTTTTCGTTTTAGCAATAAAATGATAAACATCAACTACCAGGAAAGAAGTGATGATAGGCGCGGGCATCAACAGTCAGGATAGGAAATACAAGCTAACAATGCCAGTTGAATGTGATCCATCCGTCAGAGTGCCAAAAATCAAGCACGGTAGCTTTTACTGGCAGCAGTAGCAACACAGATAATACAACCTGCTGGCTCAACTTGATGCAGATCCATAACTAACTATATGATATTTCAATATTGTGTCTGAGTCTCCCTTCTCAGTGTGCTCAATTTCTGAAACAACTTCGAAAATCTAATAAAATGCTGGACCAGATAACTTCTGACAAAATCTGGTACCTCAGAGCAACTAATCTGCCCAACATATTGCCACCAGTACGTCCTAGATGCTTTCCATCACATTAGCCAATTACTTTAGGAACTGACCTTTCCCTTATTTTGCATTTCTCATAATTGAGAAGAAAATTAAAAGTTTAAATAAAAAGGGAAAAATAACCTAACATTTAGCAATTGTATCATTCTAACCTTCCAATTTGATGCTTATGAAGATGCTCTCTGGATCTTATATCAGCCTACATATATGAAAGCAACTCCAGGCTTTAGTATTTTGACTAATAGAAAGAATCAAATTACAGATGATCAATGGCTCAAGTTTCTTATTTCTAAACAACAGATCTCAGTGACTAGGAAAATTACATTAAAAAATGGCCTTCCGAACACCAGCACTTTTTTTTAACAATAATAACAGTCTTTTGTGGGGAGTAGCAATCAATGTCCAAAATCACCTACGGAGAGGAGTTACTACTAAGTAATCATTTTAAAACCCTGAATCAGCGATGTCTGTCAGCATTAAATCACTAAGAAAACAGCTATCACAGGAGGTTTCTACAACCACGGTCAATCACTCTAACTTACCTCCTAGACGTACACAAAAAATCGATTTTCTTTTTAGTTTTTTCTTCTTTTAAAACCGACACCAGATAGCTCTACAAACAGCACATCAAAGCGTTCATACAAGAATCTTTAACAGCATGATACTTCCACATTCAAGTTTAGAAATACAACAAACAACTATACTAGAAAGAAATTAAGAAAGCTACAAAATTAAGTACTTCAAAGAATCAGTTGCATGCTTATTTTTCTGAAAAAAAATTCATAGTTTTTACCAGAAAGCACCAACTCGATTTACCTGCCTGATAGGCTCTGGCACACGAAATTTGCATGTCATTTTCACAACTTTGATGGCAGTATCAAGTGATATTCGATGACCAATTGAAACAAATAAAGGCTTCAATGAACTCTGAGTTGATCTCATTGCCTGTGAAGAAAAGAACAAAGCAAAGTACTGTTAACATTTGGGACTACAAAGCTGAGGTTAACTTTTGTAACTCCATTTTGTCTATTCTCAAGTCCCTGAACTCCACTTTGTCTATTCTCAAGTCCCTGAACTCCATTTTTTTCCATCTTGATGTTGCATAAGATTGTAGACTGCAGCATCAAATAAATAGACAGCTACACCTACTTGCTTCTCGATTTCATAGATAGTCCACAGAATGAGATAAAAATCCTCGAGCTCATATTAAGTGAATGATTACAGCATATGCCTACTTCATTGTGAAGCATAAGCAACCCAATGAGGTTTGCCAAAAAAGATTTCAAAGAAGAACAACCAGCTCCATCCCTGAGATGCATTCCGTTGTTAATCATGTGAGTCAAATGATAATGCCCGTAATGAATATAAAAGTGCTCCATAGCAATATGATGGTAGTCTCATGGTGTATTAGGTCATTACACGAGGCCAGCTAATTATGTTTCTGAATTCATTCACTTCACCTTAAAGGTTGGTTGAATAAAAGTGGTTTTAATGCATGATTGTGAATTTTTTAACGTATCGAATATCTGCTTCTGCTTGGATTGGGAAAGGAAAATAAGAAAAAAAAAAAAAAGAGATCCTGCTCAACTTCTTACCACACCCCAGATGAATCCTGAGCTGCCTCTTAAAGTAATAAGGTCCTTGGTTCTGTTTTCTTCGGCTTCAAAAAGTTCTTTTACCCCAGATCGAGTAAGACCGTCAACATGGTGCAGCTGAAAAAGATACCAATATATCGGCAGTGGCTATATATATGTAGACATTTGAAATAACTAATAACATGCCCTATAGTAGTACTTAGAATGACTGTTGATGTAAACTCACATTCTTTCCAATACCAATAGTTGGAAGATTAGCAAGAACACCTAGATGAGAGGCCAAACCAAAACCTGGCTGAGGAAAAACTGTTGTTTAAATCGTTTGTTGAAGATGAACAGAAAGCAGTAATTCCCTAATAATGATGATAACTGATAACAGAGATGTATAAGTTGTGAAGGATGTTCATTAGACAACAAGATCTCAAAGAAACTTGTACACATTATCGCAATAAAACATAGAGAAAGTGAAAAACTGAAAATGATCGCAAAGAAGTAAAGTGGAGGATTAATATAAATATATATGTTGCTTATTTTGGGTTTCCATAGCGTTAGTGCTGTAAGTGGAGGTGATAAGAGGAGTTAATAAAGAGTAAAGACTAAACTTGCCTCGAGGGTGAAGCAATCCATTACCATCCACCATGAGTACCTGCTGAATGCATGCAGAAATTAGAAGACACAAAGAGAAGATGATAATGATGATGAGTAATGCTAATAATGTCACAAACTAAAAATATTAAATTGAATACAAAAAAGGACCTGTGGGTAGAAAGGACTAGCAGTGCTTTTCATCTTCTCCAAGAGGTGTACAAGAATAGGAGCCTTTAAAAAGAACCCGTAAAAGGGGTTTAGTTAGATGGTGATAGAACAGAATCATACTAGTAGCTAGTGTATACTGATAAAAGTGGGTACCTCGCGGAAGGCAAGGAAGCCAGGGACATAAGGAACGTCAAGGGTGAGGACAGTGTAGCACTGATGGACGAGGCGCAGAGCATGATGGAGGTCCAAAACCACCAGGCTCCCACACGCCATGGATGGCTCTTCCTTGGAGAAGCAGACGTCCACTCCCCCCACATACCTGAGTTGTTGATGTTGTGCCTGTGAAGAGGGCAATCTCCATGGGAAATCATCCTCTGTAATGACTCTCTTCTTCAGCATATCTTGAATCCTGTCATTTCAATCACTCGTCTATTTTACACTACAATCTACAATCTACAAATAAAAAACTCAAATCCAATCAAACAATTGATGCAATACAATAATTACATACTCTGCCCATTTGCCCAATTCAGACGGACCTGAATGTTTTTGTGCTTCTACTTCCTCGTTCTCTTTCTCATTTACTCCTTCCATTTTCCTCTTTCGCTTTCGCTACGCTGGTGCTGTTCCCAACTTGCGATCAGAAATCAGAATCAAATATACGCAACTTGTTCAGAATTGAGATGATGAACTTCAGAATCAGATAACCGAAACTTCTTCAGAGTCTCCTCGTGCTGAATTCAGATGACAGGCGGTTCATATGCATATGTTTTCTAGGGTGTAGGATTAGTTTTCGAGATCTACATTTAGTCCAAAAAATTATTTTTTCTTTAGACACATAGATCTGTCATCAGACGTGGTGAATCGTTAACGTTAATATTTCTGTTAATATTTTCCTTAATGTGACGAACTGATAATATTTCTATCATCTCTATTAATTTTAAAAATTATTATTATATAAATTATATATATTTTTTAAACTCAAACCCTTTGGAGCACCTATAAGTTCACCCAACTGCTTAAAAAAAATATTATAACTTTTTCATACTTTTTATTAACAGTGTATATTTTTAAATTTTATTATTTATTTAAAAAATTAATAAATTTATATGAAACTTTGATTAAACTTAAAAGCGTCTAAATATTTTACCTTATTTTTTACGTAACTAATAAGAAGAGGTAACAAGAGTGGATCATTCCCCAATTGTTATTTTATTTTTCCAATTCTCGCCTGTTTTCCATCGTTTGCCTTGCTGTTTTCACTGTTAACTTCTGTTGCAATGAATTTATTTGTGCTCATCGATGTTGCATTATGCTCAGTCTTTTTCATTTATTTTTATTGCCACATATGAGTTAATTTTGGTGAGATTCTTTGACTGTTATTTCCGCTATTGGAATTGTTGCTTCTTCTGCTGCTACTTTTATCATTCAGTTTAAGTTATTGTGATGCCTATGCTTTAGAAGCTTTGTCACGAGTTGCGCTAAGTGGAGTACTCTGTTTCTTTATTCAGATTCAAGTGTTTCAGCTTTACAATGCCAGGTGGTCCTTTCAAACTCGAAATATAAAATCTCTCCCGTAGGAGTTTTTTTTTTTTTTTACGAGAACTAGTATTACGCAAGTCACTGCCCTCACATTTTCTAACCCATTTGTCTTAGCAGAGTCAAAATCATAGTTGGTCCATCGAAGTATATGCTGCGTACCAGGCATATTTTAGCACTATTTCATGTGTCAGTTCCCTCAGGCTCTATTAGACTTGTCAAAACAGAATTTAAATTAAGCAAACTAGCCTCGGAAGTCCATAAGCTAATAACAAATGCATACTCACAGAGAAACAGAGATTATTGAGCAGAAACAGAGGATGACAGAACGCTTATCTAAAGCTGATCAGATGTCCAAAAATAACATGCTAAGGCTCAAACCTTTTTCTCCAAGCATCACAATACAGAAAGATTTCATTCAAATTATACCCAAGCCTAATATTACCAACTCAATAGCTTTTACAAGGTTAAATTCATACCCCGTCATTCAAATCATAGATTGTATACCAGGTATCACAGAATATATATTCGCCATAGAGCTAACTTAATGAACCAGCCCTTAGAGACTCAATCAAATATATAAAACCAGATTTAAATTATCAGTAGCTGATCTCAAGGTTGTCTAAGTAGAGGGCATAAGCTTTGCCGTAGCAAGCAGAATCTTTAAAACAGAAACAGATGCAATATGAGCTCATTAACTGAAAAGCAGGGTTACAGACATGCCAACATGGCAGTTTCGTAAGCTTACCTTCAAGCTAGATCCAACTCCAAGTGTCTCAGACAAAGTCAGAATTGCCCAACAATTTAAACTAATCAAACATGCCTTAGGCATTCATCAACAGAAAAATAACAATATGATAGAACATACACACCTCAGCAGTGTATGAGCAGAGACAAAACCTTATTAAGGTAAACAGGTACAGATCAGAATAACACAATTGCATATCATTACAGAATAACAATATCATTACAGACTCATTCAGTATTGAAGCCATTGACAGAATAATTGATCTTATTCAGTCATTTCAGATTTGTCCGGAATATTTGATCTCATTGGATCGTAACAGACTTGTTCGGTATCATATTCATTGGCTGGAATAATAATCAGCCCTATATGGACTTTATTGCCAATATGCCATTCTAAAGCACATACATTTCCAGAAATTCGACGTTTATTCAATACATGTATGACAAGGTCAGTACATTTAGTCATGCAGTAACAGCAAGTTCAAAAAACCGCTTTAAGCAGAAAGTATCAGACTTGGGTGGGTTTAGGACCGTAGTCTCCTGCAGGTCTCTAAGCATAACAGCCACTATGTGGTTCATATTTCAAAGCAAGTATCAAGCTCAACAGATATTTAAACCCTACTCCCAAGCGAATATTAAATCAGAAAATGCCAACAATGTGGTCTACACAGCAGAGCAGAATTTCCAGAAAACTTTCTGAAGGGTCAAAACATTTAAAATGCTTGTTTCCCATTCTTAGAGTTATATATATACATAAACCAACTTTTCAGAAGATTCAAAATCAGAAATTTAGTCGCAAAATCAAGTAACGCAATATTCTACTGGCCAAGCAAACCACAGGCATACCATTCATTTCTGTTTTTATATATATATACTCATCAGAATAATTTCATTTTAAAAACTAACACCCACTCTCCTTGGTTAAATAATTTCCAGCAACTTCATTACACCCATCCTCGCTTGCCAGCAGCCACTTGGGCTTTACTCTCCCCATGACTAAATGCCCACCAGCAGCCGATGATTCATCAATCTTTACTCATCAATTCTCCTTCGAGCCTCCCACATTCCCTAGACAGAACAATATCACAAATTTCTTGTTTTTCATATATTGGCAGAGTTTACCGACATAAACGCAGCTCCACTTATACAATTTGTTCTCAAATCTTAAACCCACAGACCTTAATCATCAAGACATTAAAACCCTTACCTTAGTTGTTAAATCCACAACCTAAACTTCAGAAATGTTTCAGCTTAAGAAGAGTATGCCCAACTGAAACATAAACAGGTTTGAAATAACTAACCGGTCAAAATGAAACCTTAATCGTCTAGAAAACTAAACCTTATCTTGGTTGTTAATTGCAGGGCTTCCAAGGGCTGAAGTTGAAGTTCAAACAGGCAAACACCTTGGAAAAAGGAGGGAGCTCACGTGCAGAAGATAGCCTTCGTTTTCTTTCCGACGAAAGAAGTGGGTGGACATTCCAAAGCAAAACCCCTTATGCCGGTCAGCTTCAGCGTCACAACTACTGGCTTTCGGCCTTCTTCTATCATTTTAACTTAAGGGCTGGGCTCATTTAATCTTAAGGTTCAGCCTTTTTTAACTTAAGGGTCCAACTCTGTTTTTAACTTAGTTGGACCATTTTAAATTCTACCGCAGAAATTTAACTTTACTCTATTTCTCAACACTTCTCTTGTACTTTTATTCTCCAATAATATATTTTCTACCCTTATCTTGGTTTATTATTATTATTATTATTATATATTAACCAATTGAAGTTAAACCTCTATACATTAAGATCGAAATTAATTCCCCAACATTTTTACTGAGCGCCTGTAATGCACTTGTATAGATAACTGAGATGTTACATGAATTATTTATAAATCATAACATATATAATTTTATTATAAACTACATCATAACATATATGTTTATATAATATATAATATAGTCATAATATTTAAAAATAATTCATGAATTATTTAAAAAGTTTTAAATAAAATTTTATTTTTTATTATGTTCAATTATGTTTTATATTTTTTTTAACTAAATAAATTTTTTTAATTAATATTGACTAATTATTATTAATCAAAATATCATATACCATTCTATATTACTTTAATGAGGCATGATGATATGTAATAACAGATGATAATATGACATATTAATACAGTATGATGATATAGTCATATGACAAAATTTACCTTCCATGTTAACGCCATATAAATAAAAAATAAAAAATATTATTTTAATTAATTACAATTAGTCAAACTTAGTTATAAATAAAAGTTTAATTGAACAAAATAAAGGAATAAGTGATGATTTGAATTTTCTTAAATAATTTATAAGTTTTTTAAATATTATGTTTATGTATAATATAAATATTATAATATATAAAATTTTTGATTAATTTAAGTTATTGATTAATAACTAAAACATCATTTTTTATTAATTCAATTAATTTTTTTAACACATCCATTTAATTTAGTAAATTTTCTTTGATCGAATTAACCATTTTTACATATTTATCCAATACAACAATACTCAATCAAAAGGCAAAAATAAAAAATAAAAGATGTAAATTCTATAAATAATGATTCCATGTAAAACTCTATATTTATGTCTCAATTAAATATGATCACATGGAACTCTTTTTCTTTTTTCCAATTTAGAGATAGGGATGATTTTGTGCATATATCAACCTTTACTCTAAAAGTTAAAAAATATGCGGTGAAATTCTGTTAGATTGAGAAAAGTAAAGAATAAAATTTTAAAATGAATAAGTTTAAAAGATATAAAATGAAAAAAAAAAGGAAAAAAGAAAATAGAGACTGGGCGGAGTAGAAATGGGTTGGGGGGTCGGGTATAATCGGGAAGCTTCGGATCCCCTTTGCCCTTTCTCCGTTCCTGCCTATAAAAGCGGAAAACAGCCAGCGTAGAGTTTCTTTCCAATTTCCATTCCATTGCGTCGAGAAGGAGCCTCCTCGCTACTCGTTACTCCCTCGGACCTATTACCTTTTTGTTTTTTGGTTCTTCGATTGGACCTCTCATTTATTCTTCTTCATCATAGTAATTCAATATATTCCGCTTTCTGTCTCTGTTTTTTTGAACTGTAAATAGAATTCGAAATAGTAGCTTAGACATGGAGGATATGTCCAACCAAGGCCAAGCTCCCAATCCAAATCCTAATCAAAACGGAAATCAGAATGAAGCGGAAGAGCAGCCGCCCGCAGAAAGAGAGGAGCAGCAACAAGAAGAAGAAGAAGAAGACGAGGAAGAAGAAGGGAGGAGGGAAGACGAGGAATTGATGGCAAAGGCGCAGGCTCTTATGGAAAAGATCACTTCTTCTCCGGATAACCCTAATCATACCGTTCTTCATGCTCTCGCCTCCCTTCTCGAAACTCAGGAGTCTCTGTAAGCTCTTTCCTTCTCTTACTTATCTATTCCTTTAATTTTACTAATAGATTTGCTCTTTTAAATTTATTTCTACTAAACAGCCAAGGAAATGCTTGCACAGAGTCATTTAATGCTATTAGTATACTTTTTATTCATACGTTTTCCCTGTGCTTGATGGTTCATATGCCTATTCTTTCGTCCAATGCTA